AGATGAACTTTATTGTCACCCAACATATAGGAACAAAGTAGTTTAAAAACACTGACCCCCAACTCTGGCCTCTGTGTCCTAGGCTAGGAAAATCCTACTCACTTCCACAATGGAGCAAACTACCAGCATTCCATCCACAGTGACACCCAATTTCCTCCAGCTTGCTGTCACCTTCCTGTCAGGAGACAAATATAGTTCTGATGAACACGCTACAGTGAGTTCCCCTCCCAAACACATAAACTTCACCAGCATGCAGTGTAACTGTGCTTTTCTGAAGGTCAGGTCACAAGGATAAATGATGACTCCAAACAAAACAGCAGGGAGAGGGAGGAGGAGGAGGAGGAGGAGGAGGAGGAGGAGGAGGAGGAGGAGGAGGAGGAGACAAGAAGGAAAGGAGCTTCCTTGCCCTCATTGGGGAAACATTTCACTAGTCCACAGGTTCTGTACATTCATGGCAACATTGGACAAGGTATTGGTTCAGAGTTCCGTCTAAGATGATTTGAAAGGGCAGACCTTGACTATTTTTCCTTGAATATTGGGGTTTCCTGGGGAGAAACCTGTGGTAGATGGTTTACCTCCTCCTGTGCTGGACACAGACACTTCATGCTGGATTCTGGGCACACTGTAATTTGTAATTCCTGCATATTTCCTACTTCTCTTTCAGTCCACAGCGTGAACTCTCCAGCCTGTGTCACCTGATGTATAGAGTTCATGACTTTAAAGACAAGGACATGTGGAAAGGATTGAAAGGGAATCTGAAATACGCAGCACTCAGTCTCCACTGTTTTTACCCCACTGCACATCCCTCTCCCCATGGAGACTCCATTCTGTCTCTCCCATCCTCTCTAAATCCTCCCTCTGCAAATTGTCTCTTGCTGCCTCTGTATCCCAGGTTCTTATGCTATCCAACTCAACTAAGTCACTCGACATAGAAACTGGGAACAGTGTGGGACTGGTGACTTTGAACAAAGATTTGTAAATTTCAAACCCATATAGAGAAACAAGTTAATGTGCGATTTGCAAAGGAGACATAATGGTTTCAAATATCAACAAAGATGAAATTAATATATGAAGAGGAGGTGGAGCAAACAGCACATATTTAGTGTCAGTATTTGAAATTTTCCAGAAAACAATGCATCTTAAGATGACTATATAGAATTCATTATTCAATTTCCAAAAGCCAACCATCTCTTTTCCTTCAAATGTAAAACCTGATGGTCTATCAGGGCCAGAACACAAATGATAGGACACAAAGGACATGTATAGGACAGTGGTCTCCTGGGATGGTCCACAGTGTACTGGGGAGGGGAATGATCACCTCTACCCTCACAACAGCCCAGAGTCTGCTGCCCAGAGTCCTAGTTGGTTTAGTATCAGGACTCCTGCTGCCCTGGACTCCCCATTATCATGCACCTATGAACAGGGATCCAAGGCCTAAAGTGCAACCCAAACACGTTGGACAAGAAAACACAGCAATGTGGGGCCTATGAGAAGACTAGACTTGGAAGACAGCAGGAAAGTGGTCTCTATCCTTTTGTTGGATGAGGTCAAAAAGAAGCTTCTATCTAGAATTGTGGCTTTCTCAAGTGTCTCTACCATTTTTGTCCTTGAAGTGAAACCTCTGCATTCAAAATACCAAGACAACTACCAAATGTCTCAGTGACCCACCTTGGTTATAAGACTTGTTCTGATGGCCTAAAAGGAAAGAACAAAATTAATCCCACCAGAGAGACAATCTTCACTATTCTGATGTATCAGATTAAAGTCATGTGACTTGTAACTGGACTGCAGGTGGAGTTTCTGGGTCCAGTGTCAGTCTTACACGTTAATACTCTGTGCCTTAAATCACACAGGAAACAAGGCATGCTTGAATCTATGTGATTTTGAGATCTGACTATTCTATACAGAGAGGCTCAGGTTAGCCAGGGACGATAGTGAATCCTCTCTAATATAAAATACAAAAAGGTCATTCAAAAAATATTCCTGTCTCATTCCTGAATTTAAACATTTCACACCCCAGGCTTCATTGGTCTGCAACAGAAACAAGGCCAGACCATGGTTGACTCCCACAAACTGAAAATTCCTGTCATCCACTAAGCAAGCTGCTGCTTATTCTGTGCACATGGTACTCAACATAAGGTCAGAATTCTAAAAAGTAAGTGACAGCACGAGCTACCTCTTGTCCTGCAGTGATGAAGTTCTAGTCAACAAATTCAGCATGCACCATTGTTTGAGAAAAGGCCTGGATCAGATGATCAGAATAGAAGCTGGATGTCAAGCTCACAAATAAATAGCACCTCACATTCCTCACCTCCGTAGTCTCTCATTCTGTCACTACTCTTCAGTCAATCAGGTCAATGGTAACTTTCCTGCTGTGCTGGAGATGCTAGCATGTGCTCCTTTTCTTCAGGACATCAAGACCAGGCTTCTGAATCTCATCCTCTCCCATACACAGATACTTACTATACTCAATCTTACCTTAACATGATGATTCACACAGATTAGGGCCTGAGAATCTCTTTTGAGTACAGTTCCCTTTGAAAACTCGGTGAGCTGCTCCCTACATGAAGGTGTCCTGGAATACAGCTCACATTCCACACAAGCCACTGCTTCACACTGAACCTGTGGCTGTCATCAAGGTTTGCACCATGATCATGGATTTCTCTTAATCATGACCCTTATGGTCATCAGTGGACATAGAGAAACCATGACTGCTGGACTTGTTAAGGGAGAACTCTTCATCATGGTTGGCAAGGCCTACTTACCTTCCACCTTTGGAGAAGAACAATATTAATGTAAGATTAAATCTGAGTTATAAATCTATAGGTGCTTGCCTTTGAGTATATGAGACAAAATTCATAAAAGTACCAGGCTCATAGTGTGGTGTGTGTGTGTGTGTGTGTGTGTGTGTGTGTGTGTGTGTGTATGTGTGTTCTATCAGGGCATAAAATATAGCAGTGTGTGTTGTCCAGCAATGTATCGTAAGATCGTGTGACAAAATTGGTCTCAACCTTAGAACGTCATAGTCGATGGCGGTTTGGCAGTCAGGTGACATGATAGATATCATTGTTTATGCCACTGCAATAAAGTTAATGTGCAGCATGGCACAGTAACAGTTGTATAGCTTGATGCAAAGCACATTGTGTGCTTGAGAAGAATTCCAGGAGGAGTCCCTCAGAAATGGTGACTGGCACTGAAGGTGTGACAAGCGCAGAGGTAGGAAGTCCAATGGGTCAATACTGGGCAGGCAATTTCATGAGTGTAACAGGAGGTGAAGTTTCCATCATGGTCTGACAGCTAGTGGTTTGTGAGGTAGGAGGTCAAACAACACCTGAAACCATAAGTAGATGCGTGGTCATAGGAGTGGAGGGTGTCTAAAGGTTCTGATGAGTAACTATGCATATCAGTGGGGAGGAGTAGGACAGGGCATCTAGCAGGGCAACTTAGTATTAAATACATGTTAGATGATGGGATGAATTGGTGTCAATCCAGGCCTGTTAATAATTTTAGAGTAGGTTGGCAGAGACTGCTCTGTTATCCAGGGATACCTGAATATATGTGTAAGTGTGAGGCATTAGGGAAGTCACCAGGCATGATACCTATCAACATAGTTGAGACTACTGTAGGTGGATGTTTATTGAAAGGTCCTCATCTATCATTATAGGAAGTGCCATGGCATGAATGTTGTTTCAATAACTTTCAGTGCATGTGAGTGTCCCAAGGTGTGACAGTGTCCTGTGGAGCCCAATAAAAGCTGTGCATTTTGAGCAGAGTGGCAGTTAATCCAGCACAGCACAAAAACTAGCTCTTAATGTGGGGTAAAGTGAGTGTCATTCAGGGTTCAATGCTTAGGAATCTATAAGAGGTACAGGGCATTGTTTGCTCAGCAAGAACTGACACCTAGCACTTAGTATGTGGCTGGATGGGAACTACTGCATGGTCAATATTTAGGGATGTATTTGAGGTTGTATGGTATGTGAGGGGTGTTGATCAGAGGGGTCTGACACTTTGCAGGGCAAGAGAGGTGGGAGCACTGTATTATACCTAATCATAGAAGGAGACATATGTGTCAGGATAGGAGTTATGTAGGCCTGTTTCCTAGAAAACTATGTGGTGAGTGTGTGTAAGAGAGTGTCATTCATATCCTTAAACTGACAATGTTTAAGGTGTTAACAGGGAGGAGCATGCAGATCACAAGTGGGTATCTAGGTATCAGGCTCTGATGCTTCCCCACCTGAATCTACCCTCAGTATTATTATGAGATCCAGATGGACCGCTGTCTCCATCCCACACAATGGGAGATGTATCAGCCCTCATCACAGCACACAGGACACTCTACACTTCCACCTCAATAAAGCCACTCAGTGTGCACTGAGAGGGATTTGTTTTCTGCTGGGGTGTGTAGGGGCCAGGCTCTCTCTAAATGTCCTAGGGAAGTGTCTGCTAAAGCCGTGTTCAGTTTCTGCATTTTCATGACACATGGCATCAGAGCTCCAGTTTCTACATGTTCTCCACATTATTTATGATCTTTTTCCATATAAGGTAGGAACTTATGTGGATATCTTCCCTGACTTTTATGTGAACTTCATAGGGTTTGGATTTGTTGTCAGTTGTAATGGTGACTGTGTTCAATTTTTCAATGTGTTTGCTATTCTTTGTTTTTGAATATCTTTCTGCAGCCCTTTGTGTACAGACAATTTTCTCTGCCTTGAATTGCAAGAGTGACTATGACAAAAATCAGTGACAGGATTTAGTAGTGTCTGTTGCTGAGCTTTGTGGTCTGTTCCATGTGTTCAGTCTCCTCTATGTTACCCTTTCTGGAACTCTGATGCTTTATGGGAAGTACTGGTAGAAGAAACTGGTCCTATAGGAATCTCTCCTGCCCTTGACACCACTTCTTTGATAGGTCCTATTGGTTGTTATATTATGTGCTGGACCATCAGACTAGATTTTAATGAGTCTAGAGATGAAATTCAAAGATCTAAAACCTCTAGAATAGAAACTGAGCTATTAATTTGTACATCTCTCAGGCACAAAGTGTTCTGTAAGACTGTTTATAGAGATTACATAGGAATTCTGATTGAGTACTTCAATACTTGTTTGAACATTATCTCTAATACCAGTGAGGATAGTCCAAATACATGTCTTCAAGTTCTCCTTTTCAAGTTAGTGATAGCCTGGGACAGGGCTCCATGGACTCTGCCATTCTCAAGATCCAGTCTAGAGTTCAGAAAGAGGAGAACATTCATTTCCCAAGACTCTTCTGAGATAATTTCTTTCTCTTTCAGGCATGTTTTCTGGGTTATCCTGCAGACAGAAAAACATAGGTAACATACTACACTGCCAGAATGCAATGGTGTGTAAGTTGGGCAGGGGTAGAGATTCAACAATATCTACCCACTGGGAGGCTTTAATAGAGGAACCTCTGGTAGATTCCACAGGTGTTGTTGGTGATTTGCCTCGTTGTCTACACTTGAAAGGTGGAAGAGCGACCAATGAATTTTCCTGCACAGCATGCCATCATGATGCTCTGAGGAACCTCTGAGCTCCTCTGGATCTCAGCATTGACATGGTAATCTTCCAGGAGATGAGAGGTGAGAGGCACACCCCTCCTTCAGTGCCACTAATGTGCAATGTGCACATCTGCAGGTCAGGAGCTGGGGTCCATGATTTACTTTGTGGCCAGGCACCTACAAGAAAAGGCTGATTTTAGACCCTGATGAGACTTACAGAAGATTCATTCACAATCCCTATACCTGTAGCCTCTAAGTTAATAGGAGTTAACTTATATTGCTGAAAATCAGTACCTGATGAGGACTAGTCAAACTCCATTTCCATCCCAAGCGATGCTCTGAGGTAGAATTCGATGTTGTCTCCTAGAATGTTCCCATTCCAGCTTGTCCTGGATTCCCTGCTACTGTCACATAACAAGGTTGTAGAATTAAGGAGGAGAAGTAGCTTCATACCACCATGTGTGTACCTGGGTCCTGTACTTCCTGTACCCCATCCTGTTCTACACTCACCTAGATGACACAGGATGCACATAAGGTGAATGAAGCTTTGTCACACAATATGACCAACAGAACCTGGAGATCTGCAGTGAGAAAGGAAGGTCAATTACAATTCTGCAGTTTACCTCTGAGAATTCAAGTGACCCAGGCTTTTACCTCAATTGTTATCATATCTGAGTCAAAGGAATTTGAACAGTGTTCTAGTCAGTAATGCTCTCGCCAAAAGAGCCAGCTACTGAACATCTCTAGGACTATGTTTCCTCCACTGGGATGTGAACAGAACTGTGTGGTGATATCTTTCCTGTAAAAACATTGCCTGACTGAGGATTCAAGAATGGAGCTTGATAATAACTAACCACAGAGTTCTGTACAGACAGACTTGAAGTGACATAGCTGGGCAGAATGTAACACAGGGAAATGGGAACTCACGCTCTTTTCTCCTGAGTTGCTGAGGAGGTGACCTATGGCCATGGCTTGCACCTTCTCTGTGATATCTCATCATTTTCCTCCATATCAGTCTTCTGGTTTTAATTAATTAGACCAACTGAGAACGACAATTATAGTACTGACAATGTTGGAGTAGTGTGTGTAAAGATTGTGTATGAATAGCTGGTTTTGACTGTCCTCTTCCTGTTCCATCCATCAGACAGAGAGTGAGGCAGGAGGGTGTTCAGTGTGTGAATCTTATCATTGCTGACTTCTCTCAAATAACAATATAAAGGATACAACATGCTCCAATCTGTGGTCAGCCATATAAAATTGCATATTATGCTCATCTGCTCTCTTGGGCATCATGTCTTCTTCTGAGATTCACAGTCTGAGAGAACAACTCATGGGCTTGGAGCCCTGGGTCCACTTGTGCTGTTTCTTGTGAGATTCCATGACCTGCCATGGTAGGCAAGTATCTTTTACCCACGTATTGGTGTCAGTTAATGGCATCAGGACTGAAGCCTGCTTTAGTTGTAACTACTGACAAACACACAAACTGCGTGTCCAGCAACAAACAGTTCATTGTTCAGGGCCTGTTTTTTGCTGTCAATTTGAACCTTCATAACCCTGGTAATATAACACAGCATAGTTTAGTCACTTGGGACTGAAAGAAAGAATGTCGTGAATATCATGTCTTATTGCTATCATAATACACAGGTGTGAGAAGATGTTCACCCTCTTTGATTCAAGCTCTTCCTCTTCAATGCTATTAATGTCAGAGAGGAGACATGTCCTACTTGCACCAAGTTCTCTCAACATCCCTCTGAAGCCACACATAGGGTGATGCTGACTTTCTCTTTCTGCTCCTCTGTAACATGAGCTCAATGAACACATTACCTTGGGAATGAGGAAAACTCCCTAGCCAGCCTTCTGCTTCCTACCTGCAATCAGAGTCAGGTTTACACTGTCCAACAAAAACTTCTCATCTATCACAGGCTGGTACATAGTGGTCTCAGTGATAATACGTGGGGCCCACAGATAAACACTAAGGTCACCCAACCTGTCCAAGCCTGACCCCTGTACCCAGTGACACATAGGATGAAAGTAGTGTTAAGAACACTGACCCCAATTCTAGCCTCTGTGTCCTAGGCTAGGTAAATCCTACTCACTTCCAAAGAGAAGCAGACTCCCAGCATTCCATCCACAGTGATACCTGTTTTCCTCCAGCTTGCTGTCACCTTCCTGTGAGGAGACAAATATAGTTCTGAGAAAACTCCCTCTAGTGAGGTCTGCTCACACACACATAACCTTGACCAGGATGCAGTGTGACTTTGCTTCTCTGATGGACAGTACACAGGGATAAATGAAGGCAGCAAACAAAACAAGAGGGAGGAGTAAGGCAAGAAGGTAAGGAAGGAGTTTACTTGACTTCATGGGTGAAAATATTTCCCCAAGAGCAGAACCTGAAGGGATGCACAGATTAGTGAGTATTGCTGAGGTGTTTCTCTGAAGACTGGTTCACAGAGTCTGTACATCTATGGCCAGCGTGGACATGGTATAGGCTCAGAGGCCCCTGTACTGCAAATCTGAAGAAGGCCAAACCTGAAATATTTTTCCTTGAGAATTGTGGCTACCCGTGGGAGAAACCTGTGGCAGATGGCTTACCTCCTCCTTTGCTGGACACAGACACTTCATGCTGGGTTCTGGGCACACTGCCATCTGTAATTCCTGCATAGCTCCTACTTCTGCTCTTTCAGTCCACAGCTGGAAATCTGCAGCCTGTGTCTCCTGATGTATGGAGTTCATCACTTTAAAAACAAGGACATGTGGATAGGATGGAAAGGGAAACTGAAATACGCAGCACTCAGTGTCCATGCTTCTTACACTCTGCACATCCCTCTCCCCATGGAGACTCCATTCTGCCTCTGCCATCCTCGCTAAACCCTCCCTCTGCAAGTTGTCCCTTGCTGCCTCTGTATCCCAGGTTTTCATGCTCTCCATCTCAACTCAGTCGACATAGAAGCTGGGAAAAGTGTATTTCTGGTTGTTTTGAAGTCAGATTTGTAAATTTCCTACCCATATAGAGAAACAAGTTATTGTGCCAATTGCAAAGCACAGATGACAGTTTCAAATACAAACAAAGATAAAATTAATACATGAAGTGGATGTGGGGCAAACAGCACATATTCAGGGTCAGTATTTGAAATTTTCCAGAAAACAATGCATCTTAAGCTGACTGTATTATATAGTATAAAAAAGTCCCAAAAGCCAATCACCTCTTTTCTTTCCTATGTAAAATCTGAAGGTCTATCAGATCCAAACAAATGACAGGACACTAAGGACATGTAATAGGACAGTGGTCTCCTGGGATGATCCACAGTGTACTGAGGAGGGGAATGATCACCTCTACCCTCACAGACAGCATTGAGTCTGCTGCTGAGAGTCCTAGTTGGCTTAGTATCAGGATACCTGCTGCCTTGGACTCCCCATTAGCCTGCAGCTATGAACAGGGATCCATGGCCTAAGTGCAACCCAAACTGATTTTGACAAGTAAATGTAGCAATGTGAGGCCATGACAAGACTAACCCTGGAAGTCAGTAGGAAAGTGGAATCTTCCTTGTGTTGGATGAGGACAACCAGAAACTCCTATCCAGAGTATGTGGACTTTTTCAGTGTTGCTACCATTAGTGCCCTTGAAGTGAAAGCACAGGCTTCAAAATCCCAAGACAACTACCAAATATCTCGGTGTGACCCACCTTGGTTCTACGACTTGTTCTGATGACCTAAAGGAAAGAACTCAGTCAAACATACCAAGGAGCCAATCTTCACTATTCTGATGGATCATATGAAAGTCATGTGAAACAGGGTTACTGTTACACGTTAATACTCTGTGCCTTAAATCCAAGGATCTACCAGCTAGGACACACCTCCTTCAGTTCACTGCCTTGTGTCCACAAAAGAATTGATGACAACACTTCTCACCTCTAGGGCTCTGTTCATGGTGGACACAGATCTATTCTGCAGGTCACATTTGCAGTTAGCCCCTTGTTTCAAGTCCTTCCTGGATGAATGTTCCTTCAGGTACAACCCTGACCCAATCCACATGAAAAAAGAAAAAAATTGGTAAGATTCTACCTCTCATGTTTGGAAGAAATTGCCATTGATGCTATACAGTTCTGTAGACAGACAACACTCAGGAGTCGAAGCTGGCTTGGATCTCTGTGATTTTGAGATCTGCCTGTTCTCCACAGAGAGGCACAAGTTAGCCAGGTACCATAGGGAATCATCTCTCAAAATATTAAATACAAAATGGGCATTCAGGACATTTCCCTGTCTCATTCCCTGAATCAACCTGGCATCATTGATCTGCAAGAGAAACAAGGCCTGAGCCCAGTTGATTCCCACAAACTGAAAATCCTTGTAATCCACTATGCAAGCTGCTACTTGTTCTGTGCACATGGGACTCATCAGATAGTCAGGGTTCTAGAAGGGAAGTGACAGCACGACCTACCTGTCGTCATGCAGGAATGAAGATGTGCTCAACAAATTCAATTTGCACCATTGCTTGAGAAAATGCCAGGATCAGATGATCAGAAGGGAAGCTGGATGCCAAGCTCAAAAAGAAGATAGCACCTGTCTTTCCACACCTCCGCAGTCTCATTCTGTCAGTACTCTTCAGTCAAGCAGGTCAATGGTAACTGTCCCTCTGTGCTGGATATTCTAGCATAGGCCACCTGATATGTTCCTTTTTCTTCAGGACATCAAGACCAGGCTTCTGAATCTCACCCTCTCCCACAAAAAGATACTTACTGTACTCAATCTTACCTTCAGTAATGATTCACACAGATCAGGGCCTGGGAATGCCTGTTGAGTTCAGTTCCCCTTGAAAACTCACTGAGCTGCTCCCTACCTGAAGGTTTCCTGGAAAACAGTTCACACCACACTCGCCACTGCTTCACACTGAACCTGTGGCTGTCATCAAGGGTTGCATCATGATCAAGGATTCCTTGTAAGTATGACCCCTATGGTCATCATTGGTCATAGAAAAGCCATGACTGCTGGAATTAAGGGAGAACTCAGCATCATGGGTGGAATGGCCTACTTACCTTCCCACTTTGTAGCAGAACAATGATAATGTAAGATCATATGTGAGTTATAAATCCATAGGTGCTTGCCTTTGAGTATATGAGACAAAATTCATAAAAGCACCAGGCACATAGTGTGTGTGTGTGTGTGTGTGTGTGTGTGTGTGTGTGTGTGTTTCTATCTGGGCATGTTTATAGCAGTGTTTGTTGGGCAGCATTATATGGTAAGAATGTGTGATGAGCTTGCTCTCAACCTTAGCACATCATATGGGATGGCAGGTTGGAGGTCAGGTGACTTGATAGACATCACTGTGTATGCCACTGCAGTAGAAGTTAATATACAGCATGGCACAGTAACACTAGTAGAACCTGATCCACAGCACTTTGTGTGCTTGAGAAGGAGTCCAGGAGGAGTCCATCAGAAATGGTGACTGGCACTGAAGTTGTGACATGCACAGAGGTAGGATGTCCAATGGGTCAATACTGGGCAGGCATTTTCATGAGTGTGACAGGAGGTGAAGGTCACAGCGTAGTCTGAAAGCTAGTAGTTTGTGTGGTAGGATGTCAAACAACACCTGATACCCAGA